GGGGTGTTGGCTGGGGCCCTGCTGGGAAATAGGAGTTTGCAAGTGGCACGTATTGTGAGATTCAAAAGCGCTGCTTTCGTGGGTGACCCGGAACGCCAGCTGTGTGAACAACGTGGAGAGACTTGCTTAACAGATTAGTAGAGACAGAGGGCCAGAGAGATAGAGACAGACCTACAGAGAGAGAGGCGTACACCCTTGATTTACTAACAGCTCTCCTCTATTTGAAGATGGTCACTCAAATGCCTTCTCTAGGTTACTGGCTAGCCATACAACCGTTTAATCATATTCGCGGTGATTCCTTTCATCCAACTGCTATCAATGTGACCTGCCCAGGTGCCAGGGAGAAAACCATCTAAGGAACCTTTGAGAAGGGACCAAGGTACCACTGTCATCTCGCTCCTGCCTGAAACCCAAGAGGGGCTCCATCCTTGGTGTCTCGATTCAGACCCCTGGTGACCAGAACCCCGAGGTGTGACATATACTTTTTCCTGCTCTGGAGATGCCGTGGAAACGTCTCTCTTGGTAAAGTGGAAAAGCTCCCCTAAAATGGCGACAAGCACAGACACAGATGCATGTCAGGGCGACTTTTTAGGAAGTGCTTTGTGCCCCCCTGCAAAAAGGATATTTTAAACGAAGTCACCACAATAAGCCCTCTTGGACAGTCAGCTGCATCACACATGAAACTTCACAGACACGCCTCCCACTTGGGTTCCCTGCCCCCAAGCCCCCAGGCACAGGTGGAGAAGGTCAGAGATCGGGGTCTTCCGGGCTGAGCAGATCACACACCAAAACCTACGGGGGTACCCGGCGAATCAGAGACGGCCTGGAGTGAGGGTCTCCAAGGAAGAAGCCCATCCTCCAGAGAGGGTCCAAGATGACCCATGGGGGCCTGAGAAGAACATTTCAGGGCTTGCAAATTGAATTCTGGTTTTCATCTGGAACATAAGAAAGACGTTGCCCTTTGCTAAGAATTAGTAGAAGGATTGACCACCCGTGTGTGTCTCGTTCATAAACGAAATGAACGTACACGTTTTGAGATGCACGGTCAGACATTGACCCACCCCTCCCCCCGCAAGGGTTAGGTCTGGAAATGAGTAAACGGAAAACCAGGTGGAGCTTGGAAGCTGTTTACTGGGGAAGAGATGAGGTCAGTGGGGTGCCACCTTTCCATAGGAAAGCTGAGCCACCAACCCCAGAAGGAGATGCAGGGCCCGAGGGTGACAACTCAGGGTCAGGAAATGGCTAATTCCAGGCTGAGTCACGGGTGGCAGGGAGTGGCAGTGCCCGAGAGCCTGGGATTCCTTGCTGGGCCAGAAAGTTAAAGATAGATAAATCAGTGGTGGAGGCAGGGGCTCTAGTTTATAGTAAAAAGTGCGAGCTGGTGACTGTGGATTCCCAGTGCCCATGGAGAGAGTGGAAACTTGTCAATATGCGTCCGTGTCCTGGGGCTGTCAGAATAAAACACTCCAAACGGGGGACTTAAAGCATCCATCCTCCCCCATCCTGGAGACCACACCTCTGAGGTCAAGGTGCCCCAGGGCCGCACTCCCTCCAGAGGCTCCAGGGGAGGGTCCTTCCCGCCTCTTCCAGCTTCTGGGGCTCCAGGCGTCCCTGGGCTTGTGGCCGCATCCCTCCCGTCTCTTCCTCCGTCTTCCCGGGGCTTCTCCTCTGTGTCTGTGTCTCTCCTCTTCTGTCTCTTAGGAGGACCCTGTCATTGGATGTAGGGCCACCCTCGTCCAGGAGGACCTCATCTAAGACCCTTCACTGCATCACATCTGCAGAGACCCTGTCTCCAAGTAAGGTCCTGTTTGGAGGCTGTGGGCAGATGTGAATTTGGGGGGACATGTCTCAACCCAAGGAACGGGTGGTGATAAGGCAAAGGACCATTCTGAGATTGATGGGGTCACCCACACATAGATTTATGTGGTCCTTCCCGGGACAAACTATTTAATGCATCGATTATTATGGTCAGCAGTTCAATACAAGTCTGGGGCCTGAGAGCCAGGCTAGACTAACGGGTGGCCCGACAATTCCTAGTGTGAACGGTGGCCCCAGATGAGGTGGGAAGCCGGGGGACTTGGACCGAGGATAGAGTTCATCCTGTCCCCTTCAACTCCTCACTCTTTACAAATTGCCTCGTCAAAACAGTCTGGTGGTTCCTCAATTAGTTAAATGTAGAGTTACCATGTGATCGAGCACTTATCCTCCTAGGTAGAAGCTCAATAGAAATAAAAGCGTATGTCCACACGGAAACATGTACACGCATGTTCATAGCCATAGTATTGACAACAAAGGGTGGAAACAGCCCAAGTGTCCATGGATGGATGGATGGGTGAGTGGATGGATGGATGGATGGATGGATGGGTGGTGGATGGATGGATGGATGGATGGGTGGGTGGATGGATGGATGGATGGATGGGTGGATGGGTGGATGGATGGGTGGATGGATGGGTGGATGGATGGATGGGTGGGTGGATGGATGGATGGATGGGTGGATGGATGGGTGGGTGGATGGATGGGTGAGTGGATGGATGGATGGATGGATGGATGGACGGATGGGTGGATGGGTGGATGGATGGATGGGTGGGTGGATGGATGGATGGATGGGTGGGTGGGTGGGTGCATACACAGCATGGGGTCCATCCACATGATGGGATATGACTCAGCCATGAAAAGGAGCAAAGCTCTGACCCAGGCTACAGCGTGGATGGACCTTGAACACACGATGCTCAGTGAGAGAAGCAGACGCAGGAGGACACATATTTTATTATTCCATTTATGTGAAGTGTCCAGTATCATCAAATCCACAGAGACAAAAAACAGATTTTTGGTTGCCAGAGTCCGCAGGGAGTTGGGAATGAGGGCTGATTACTCAGTGTGGACAGGGTCTCCTTTTGGGGGCATAAGAATTTTCTGGAACTGGACAGAGGTGATGGTTGCACAATATTGTGGCTGTGCTAAATGCCCCTGTATTGTTGACTTTAAAAGGGTTAATTGTATGTTGTGTGAATTATAGCTCAATTTTTTAAAATGCCTCATAAATCGCAGGGAGAAGCCTGAGGACGCCTCTGCTGTGCTTCCCTGTGTGTAGTTGGCCCTTTGCCCCATGAACTCCTAGTTCTGAGGCTTTCGTCCCTGTACCCCAGCGTCCTCACCCCTCAGGTCACTGCCAGCATATCTGGAGTTGACCGCCCACGTCTTCAGGTCTGTGGTCCCCACGGCTGAGTGACTCCCAGCCAGGACCTGAACAGGAGGAAGGGGTGGCCTGAGGATCTTCGCTGTTTACGCAAAGCTTCATCCTGGAAGCCACCGTGGATGGGCCGAGGTTCCCAGGGGCTGCCATTGTTCTCATTTCCGTCTGTACCAAGGCAACAGACAGCATCCTTCCTGGCCCTGCACCCGGGGGACGACGTGGAAAGCTCGGGCCACCGTTCCCTGAGCCCTCGGACTGCGTCTCCCGTTCCTTGGAAAGAATCGCCCTACATGTGTGCAAACGTGTCCTCCTAGACGCTTCCTCGGGAGACAAGCCCCTACTGTTTTCCATTTACAAATGGGGAAACCGACGCACAGAGGGATGAAGGGCCTTGCATGGGACATGGACAGCTCTGTCCTGAGTTTAAGTCGGACACAAGGACGTTCCTGATAAATGAAGAGTGAGGGAATAGATGACACAAGGACGGTCTCCATAAATGCAGAGTGAATGGACAGATGGAGGCGTGATGGACAAACAGAAGGAAGGGGGTGGCGTAGAAGGTGACCAGCCCTAGGCCTGTGACTTCGGACAAGTTAACCAGCCACCCCTCCTGTCCCCCCACTGCAGTGAACCTGGTGTCCAGAACCCCCTCACATCCCCCCTGCAGTGAACCTGTTGTCCAGAACCCCCCTCACGTCCCCCCCTACAGTGAACCTGGGGTCCAGGCCCCCCCCCCCCACTCACATCCCCCTGCTGCAGGGGACCTGGTGTCTAGTATCCCTTCTTCCTCTGGAACCTGTCCCACTCTGAGCCCCTGGTCCGAGGGACTGTCAATCACACAAGAGTGAGAAGTGGCTGAAGCCTGGCCCATCACGGATCTCCCTCACTCTGTCCTTAGGCATCAGACCAGGGCTGGTCATCTGACCCTGGCAGGGCCAGTCAGAACCCTCTAGAGGTGCTGGGAGAGAGAGGCTGTCTCCTTTCCCTGTGAGTTCTGCTCTGTAAAGATGGGCGTTTGGGGCTGCCGGGACCCTCTTTCCCTCCACGGAGTGACTGGCCTTTCCTCCAGGGCCACTAAAGCCTGCAAGGGAGACAGAGGATGGCGGAGCTGAAATCTGGGACAAGAGAGAAAACGGGAGCGGACAACCACTTGAGCCCCTGGATCCAGCCATGCCTGAAGCTGCCCTGACATTCCTAATTATCCAATTCGACAATTTCCACGTTGGCCTCGGCTAGCATGAGCCAAGTTTCTATTGTTTGCCACCAAGAGTGACGACTCACCCACCAGGAAGCAGCATGTCCCCACTCGGGACAGAATTCCAGAGGAGGGCGCCCACGGAGCCCTCACCTCCTGCCTCAGCCAACGCTTGGACGTTCCGTGATAGCCACGTGCGTGCAGCCACCGGCACCCGCCTCTGTGGCTCTCCGGATCTGAGTTTTGGACAAGTCCCTTAACTCAGACCCTCAGTTTCCATATCAACAGGAATGACAAGAATAGCACCTTAAGATGTGGAAGAATGGGGGTTTTCCGTGGAAGTCTCAACCATTGCCAGCACCGCCACCCTAGTCTCACGACTCCTCTGCAGCCTCTGTCCTCTCTCGGCAAACCCCACAAATACTTTTAGGACTTTGGGGTGCCCGGGTTAAAATAACACAGCCCTAAAGTGAGCCGATGTGACGTGAGCCCTTTGCCCGCAATTAAATGGCATCGTTAAAATGGAGACACGCGTCCCCCTGCCTCCCGGCTCACCCCTGGGGGACCCTGTACTGCCTCCCCCCCACCCCCACACATTGTCCCATGACTTACGGTGGCTGCCGGGAGGGTGGCGGTCTTGGGTGAGCAGGCCCCTTGCAGCTTGTTTGAGCCGGGTGCTGGGGACCCTCACTCCGGGGCACAGGAGGTTGCCCCTTCGGAGAAAGGTCCACACAGGAACAAGACAGCTCCCCACTCTGTTGGTGACCCTACTGTCTGTCCCCCAACCAGCCCTGCAACAGACACAGTCCCCAACCCTCCAGGGACGCAGCAGACTGCCTCTAACGGTAACTTGTCATCTGCAGATGTAATTAAGTGCACAAAGGTTACGAAACTCGGAGCCCGAGGGCAGAGCCGCAGTGGATGGAAAAGGTTCCTCTTTTTCACAGTGGGGTCCCTGGGGGTGGCGGTGGAATGGGTCACTAGAGTGGATTTTACATATTTTTATAATATGTCTTTTTAGAAAAACAAGTTTTAAAAAAAGTCTCACCCAAATATATTCAGGAATCACTTCCTAAGAGCTGTTAGTTTATGATGAGAGACTGTGATGAGCTGAAGTGTGGCTTCCTTTGAATATACTTAATATTAGTTTATTTTTCAAAAACTGCTAATATTAACTGTTTAAAAGCCTACTCATTACACTGGGATAAGAGGGCTCCTTGTTGTCAAGCAGTGGGATATAGTCTCTGAGGTTCCCCCTGCCATGGACTAAATTGTATTCCTCCCAAAAATTTGTATCTTGGCATCCTGACCACCAGGACCTCAGGATGTGACTGTATTTGGACATGGGGTCTTTAAAGAGGGGACGAAGGTACAATGAAGTCATTAGGGTGGGTCCTGATCCCATAGCACTGGTGTCCTTATAAGAAGAGGAGATCAGGACATAGACACACACAGAGGGACAACCATCTGAGGACACAGGGAGAAGGCGGCCATCTACACACCCAGGGGAGAGGCCTCAGGAGGGACCGGCCCTGCCCACACTTGGATCGCGGACGTGCAGCCTCCAGGACTGAACGAATAAATGTTTATTGTTTGAGCTGCCCCGTCTGCTTCATTACAGAAGTCACCAGACACTCATACAGCTGGGACTAGTTTCTACTCAGCCTTGAGTCTACAATCATTGTGTCTTTCTTCTCTGCTTCCTGTTCTAACCTGTTATTTCTCAGCAAGAGTGACCAGTCCCACAGAGGAGAGACCGACACCGTTGTCTGCTAGAGGACGCCTTCTGTCTGGAGCCACCCTCGCTGGCCTCCTAATGAAATGTGGCCTGCGCGTGGCTTCCAGGAGGAACTCATTGTATCCACGGCCCCTGTCAGCTGGAGCCTTCTCCGGAGCAGACGGACATGGACCACTGTGTAGAGTTCTCTCTCCCGTCAGCTACTGAAGCCGGGCACCCCAGGGGACAGAGACCATGAAGGGCAGTACGTGCACAGCCCTTGGCCTCAGGCCACCCAGGATTTCCGTATCTGTGCTCTGGACCCCACAGACATAACGATCATCTCCACGCAGCCCCCAAACAGAACATCTCCTGAGTCTGCAGGAAAGCTCACACGTTTCAAAGGATGAGACACATTCAGGATACACTCTCTGACCTTCATGGAATTAGGCTGGAAACCCGTGAACTAAAAGATGAATGAGGGTCCTTCAACTGCTGGACATTTCCGAATAACCCAAGGGCCAAAGAAGGAATCATGATGAAAACAGAAGAGATTTTTCATGAATGATATAGGTCAGCGCCCTGCGCCCAGTACCAAAACATTTCCGCAGGCTCTGGGGATTATAGGATGTGGACGCCTCTGGAGAAGGAGGCACGGTGCGGTCGGGGCATCTTGCCTGGAGAAGGGGCTGTGATCAGGGATGCCCCCCAAGGCTAGCAGCCTGCCTCTCCTGGGTTGCCATGGCTTTTGAGAGTCCACGGTGAAGACCAAGAGGAGGGAGTCTCCGGCGGGCCCAGGAGAGCAGCAGGCGGCCGTGAAAGTGGCCGGTACAGGATGAGGGTCTTGTGGGTGGGGAAGGACGGGGGTGGGGCCGCGTGACAGAGTTTAGGGAAGTCGGAGGCCAACGCTGGTGCCCCTGTTGGCCGTGGGAACCACTGACATTTCCCATGGCCATGGGTGGAGTCCAGCCTCCCTGCTTCCCTAAAGTTTGTAGGACCAGCAATGGGGTTGACTGTCTTGCCCGGGAGCCCAGGGACAGCCGGGATGCGCAGGGCACGCATGTCACCCAGGGATTACTCAGAGGTTGAGAACTTTGACACGGGTTCATCCTGGAGGGACCCTTGGGGCGTCTCCACGTCTTGGCTGCTGTGAGTCCTACCACTGTGAAGATGGGGGTGCCGATCTCTCTCTGAGGTTCTGATCTCAATTATTTGGGATATAGAGCCAGACCTGGGATGGCTGGATCATACAGTAGCTCTATTTTTAATTGTTTGATGAACGGGTATACACAGAATGGGGTCCTTGTATACCGTGGAATATTATACAGCGTGAAAAAGGAAGGAGATTCTGACACAGGCTACAAGGATGAACATTGAGGACATGACGCTCAGCGAGATAAAGTCACAAAAACACAAATACTCTGTGATTCCACTTATTAGGAGCTCCCTGGAGCCGTCGGATCCATAGACAGACAGTAGGATGGTGGGGGCCGGGGCCTGGGGGAGGGGGATGGAGAGTCAGTGTTTAATGGGGACAGAGTCTCAGTTTGGGAAGATGAACAAGTTTTAGCGACCTGCCGTACAGCACTGGGCCCACGGGTGAAAGTACCGTATTATGCACTTAAGAATCTGTTATGAAGGTAGATGTTAAGTGTTCTTTCCACAGAAACAAAATAAAATGAGATAAAATAAAGCAAGGCAAAATTTAAAATTTTAAAGTAAAATACAGCGTGGGGGGGAGGGATAAATTAGGAGTTTGGGATTAGCAGATACACACTCCTATATATATTGTAAAATAGATAAACTACAAGACCCTGCCCAGGGAACTATATTCAATATCTTGTAATGACGTATAATGGAAAAGAATATGAAAAAAGTAAACTAAAATAAGATACAATGAAAAAGAAGATAAAATAAAATGGAGCTTTTCGGATTTGGTGGGGGAAAAGAAAGGGAATTTCTACCCTGATTCCAGCGTAAGCCCTCGGTCAGCGGTGCACAGCCTGGAAACAGGATGCAGCTGCCTAAGTACACGTGGGCCTTGCCTGGTCAGGGGCGGCCGAGGCGGGGACATGACCCCGGGTTGTCTGGGTGGCCCCGTGTCACCACAGAGTCCCTCTAAGGGTGATGGGGAGGCAGGAGGGAGACACCCTAAATGCTGTGGGTGCTGCTCTATGTTCAGGAGTTTCCGGATCAAACCAGGCTCAGAGGCAGCCTTTGGGGTCATGATGGCATCAACAGAAGGCGGCTGGGGGTCTGCGGGTCGGCCCCTCCCCAGCCTTCCCCGACGCCCCAGAAGGTCCGTTGCTCCCCGTGTGCCCGGCGAGGACACTCTCTGCGTGTGTCTGTGTCTCTGGCCCCGCTGAGCACCCTCAGCCAGGATGCAGGGTTTGCAGGGGCTTTCAGGGAGGAGCGACTTTTAGGACTAACCCGGGAGAGTCCCCAGCGTCAGGAGGGTGAGCTGCAGCCGGTCCACCCTCTGGGTGGCAGCCACGGAATGGACAGGGCGTGGGGGCCCAAAGTGGCCCCCGTCTGCAGCCGGGGCTGTTCTGTCCTGTTGAGGTGGGGAGGGTTTTTTCCATTATTACTTTTTGATTGGACTGTAGTTGATTTCCAATGCTGTGCCAACGTCTGCTGTACAGGAAAGTGACCCCGTTATACACATATATACGTATATATGTATGTATATACGTTTTCTTTTTCATATTCTTTTCCGTGATGGTTTATCCAAGGAGATTGGATACAGTTCCCTGGGCTCTACAGTAGGGCCTTGTGGATCCATCCCATATATGACAGTTTGCACCTGCTAACCCCAAACTCCCAGGCCTTCCCTCCACCGACCCCCGCCCCTTGTTTATCGAGGTGGGGATTTTTAACACTGACCTTTTCCCGTGACCACAGGGCAACATGGCAGGGTGTGGGACTGTCCTCCAGTGTCTGGGTCTGGCCCAGGCTTGTCTGTGTTGGGAGGTGACTCCTACTAGCGCAAAATGTCTGACCCCGGAGCCGTTGGCAGCGCTGCTGGCCGGGAGCTGCAGGCCTTCGCGTGTCTATGAGTTTTTGTTCAGCTTTCACTTTTGGATTTGGAAGTAAAGCCATTTCCAGACGTGTGATGGCTGGAACTATGTCCCCATGTGTACCTTGCAAAGAGAATGGGTTTATTTATCCTGCTTCTAAGCCCCTCTCCCTCGGTCCCTCCCCGCTGGTAACATGGAGCTTGTGTTGGTGACAGCCGGCCGGGGACGAGCCCCGCTGGGGACACAGTTCCTCTTTCTTGTCACTCTCAGTGGGCCCTGCCCCCTTCCCCTACAGACATCCTGCTGGGGCCTCTGTGCCAGCTGCCATGCCCACCCCCAAGGCCTCCCCGGGGGGTCCCCGCTGTGGGACCCAGCTGGCCCCTCAGCAGTGAGGCTGGATCAGTGGCCTCCACCCAGCAAAGCAGGGTTCATGGCCTCCAGTGGTGTGGTGAGCTGAGTGGTGACCCCCCAAACGTGTCCACATTCTGACCCCTGGAACCTGGGAACGGGACCTTATTTGGAAACAGGGCCTTTCCAGATGTGATGAAGTGAAGGGTCTGAGATGAGGTCCTCCTGGATGAGGGTGGCCCTACATCCAATGACAGCGTCCTTCTAAGAGACAGAAGAGGAGAGACACAGACACAGAGGAGAAGCCCCGGGAAGACGGAGGAAGAGACGGGAGGGATGCGGCCACGAGCCCAGGGACGCCTGGAGCGCCCAGAAGCTGGAAGAGGCGGGAGGGACCCTCTCCTGGAGCCTCTGGAGGGAGTGCGGCCCTGGGACACCTTGACCTCAGACGTCTGGTCCCCAGGATGGGGGAGAATGCATTTCTGCTGTTTTAAGCCCCCAGTTTGTGGTCCTTTGTTATGGCGCCCAGGGAACCAGCACGAATAACGTTCTCTGCGCGTGCTAAAAGAATTTCAGTGTTGACAGCTAGTATTTTAATTTTTAAAGCATGCAAACAATTTCTGACAAACCATGAACCATGCTATTTTAAAATACAACTGCTGGGTGACAATTGTGAGGGTATGCAGTGGATTCTAACTGTATCGGTGATATATACTCCATCATCCATTGAAATAGCCCACGGAGAAACTCTATTTAAAGATTGGGGAATTTCACAGTATTCCTTTCTTTCTTCTTTAAAATCTTTTTTTTTTTCAAAAATTCACATCTTTCCTTTCGTGAAATTGTCTTTTCATTTCTACCATTTTTTAGAGTCTAATTTTAGTATTGTCGAAATCTATGTCGGAAAATCTTTTGTATATCACCCCATCCAACTCACGGCAACAAAAATAGGTGTAAGCGTTGACACATCAACACGGGTTTCACTTCCCGTACCATCAGAGCCTACGTGCTAAAAGGTTTCTTCCGAGTGAGTGGTCCTCGGATGAAAAGTGATCAGAGCAACAGAAGTGTATTATGCACCTTGATGCACAATAATTAAACAATAAAGTTAAGAAAGAATGTATTGGATTTTACTTCCTGAATGAGGTGAATTACAGTCAAGATCTTCCTACACATTTAACGAAAAGGAATATTTGTACAGCTAAGGATTTATAAAACCCTGCAGCTTGTATGTCTTTTGTTTTTTTTTTCGGTATGTGGG